TGGTGTTTCATTTTTTGTCAATTAGAACGTGGTATCATTGCATTATTGAAATATACATTGAGAAATTAGAGCCCATTCTGATGGAGCAATGTTCGACAATGAGGAGAAAACAACTTCAAAAACCTTTGCCTTTGCTTCTACTCTGCAAAAGATATCATCTGTATACTGTATATTGTATATAGCAGCTGTTCTGCAACAGTCTAGAGTTATTTTCTTTCATGTGAATGTCTTTCATTTCTAAATAATTTCCACAGTTCAATCTTTTTTAATAGCTGGCTTTACGGTTTCTGCTGGAAGATAGTCTAAAAACTGACTTCCGCGGGATTATTCATGAATCAAGATACAGTATCTATATTTCTTCTCCAACTGAGTTGAGTAAGAATCAAAGTCAATCATACAGTATCTCCAAGAATTATAAAAACATGACGAGTATACACACCAATCAAAAACAACATCATTTTATTGAAAACAAATGAAATACACACAATGGAGAGATCCAAATTCAAACAGCTCCATCAATCCTTTTTCTTCGCAAGGGGGATAACTGAAATCTGCAGAGGCGGCCATGATGTAACAGAGCTGAGACCCACAGAACTCTCTCAGCACTGCCAACATCTTGCCTGCTCAAACAGCCCCAATCACATTGGAAAAAAAGGCAAAAAGCTTGAAGACAGCCACCACAGCAAACAGTAACAGCTACAAGTTTTCCTGCAGAACAATTCAATGGAAAAAAACCTTCATCAGTAAAGGATGTTTTGAAAAAAGCACTGCTTGGGAATACAGCAGTGCTACCCAACCTTTTTGGGCCTGCAGACCATCACATCTCCATAACAATCCTTCAGGGACTGGTATATTAAAAAAAAATAGTTTCTGCTGACAGGCCAAGTTCCATAAAACTTTGCAGACTAGAAAAAAAGTGCTTCAAAGACCTTCGCAGGTATTTGAAAATTGTCTGCTCTTTTTAAAAAATTAAGTAAAGAACCCTCGAGGCAGCTATAGTGGAATATCTTCTAAATATCAGAAAGCTGGGCTTCAAGAAAGGTTTCTCAGGGCAAAAAATTAAAGTACAGTACAGTCAAACCTCATCAAGTTAAAATTTCAAGGGACCAGCAGGAAAAATTGACATGAGAAGGTTTCAACTTGAGGAGGTTTTGAGTCTTAGAGGTTTTCATTACAGAACAAAGAATATTTGTTATGAGAAACAAAGATGAATTGCACATAATTGTAAATGGTGATAATTTGTGGCTTCCTAAATGGGTTGATAGGATGCCAAACTTGGAGGCAAAAGTTCATTTCCCCAATTATTCATTCACTTCCTTTGAAATTGCATTAATTTCCATTTCTATTGCTTTTCTCTTTCCCCTGTCATAAAAAAATAATCAAAAGGCCTTGTAAATTCAACTTATTGAGGCTCAAGAGGAAAAGTCTGAGGGGGACTTGAAAAAAAATTTTGACTTGAAGAGGCATTTGACTTTGGGAGGGTTGACTTATCAATGTCCCTTTTTACTTTTTTTCAGTAGGTGAACATGTGTCCAAAGTGTTATTAGGAGAAAGGGCAACTTTTATTTTTAAACATATAATTTCATCACTGGTTTTTAACTAGTTTCAAAAAAAAACAGCCAGGATACCAGCGAAACTCCCTCCAACAAAACGCACAAATGTACAAGAGTAAAATTACCAACATTAAAACAAAGAAAACGTAAACATCTGAGAATTTAACTTATTTCTAGAACTTTCTCAAGAAATTATTAACATGTTGATACAACTTGAAGGAACGTCAAATAAACTTAATTGATATAGTATTGTACTGTTACTCATTGTGTAAAGTATGAGATTCCCGGCAAGAATCTTGAAAAACCTTTTTCCCCCTTCAGATATTCAGTCTGAAATATAGGTTTAACAACAATTTTACAGTGCCACTATATTCCGTCATTTATCGCGTTCTTATTTGGCAACTTTGTAAGTGAAAGAAAAATTGACAAACTGATGTTTTCCTATACTGGAAGAAATTTGCAGAGGATAAACAATATTACGATTACTTTCGAATCATGTACGCTTATCATCTGTAAGCATATCCGAAAATTGTTGGAAAAGCAATGGATAAATAATGGAAATTGATTCACTCAGTTGATTCAAAAGCTATTAACCAAAAAGTTTTCGAATGCATTTGAAGTACAGTACATATAATTGGTAATCAGTTATAATGGTTTTTGTGCCCGATATATGACGGATTGTATTCACTGTATCGTGTGCATTCAAAAAAGGTTCACAATTGATCAAATTTATTTTATCGTTGGTTGACTCAGGACGAGCGAAGGAATAAAACCATACGTACGTGACATTAAAATAAGCACTTAACACTTTTTCTCACAACATCATCATCGTCGGAAATCACTGTCAAAATCGTTGTCAAAAATTGTATCCGAAAGCTTTTTGGAAAGACGGGCGATGACGTGCCAATTTAAAATCTCACGAAATGAAAAAAATGTCAAATTTGACACGCACAAAAAAAACTCATTTAGTAAAACACTGCATGAGATGCCAAATATTTGAATACGGATCGCAATAACTCTTGAATAATTTAATTCACACCATCATCGTCGGAAATCGCCGTCAAAATTGTGATAATTCAAGAAAGAAGCAGAATAAATGAATAAAAAAAAAGGCAGCAACAGCGGGGCCTTGTGGAAATCACCGACACTGGCAAGAATAAATGTGTGTCACTGTCACTCGAGGTCTGGGTGGACTCAATAAGATCGTCGTCGACGTCGACCAGAGGGATCAAGTCTCGTCAACAGTGATCAAGCCTGTGGCTTCGGGTTAATTAGTCGTTCTTTTCCGTGGGGTTTTCCAAAACTTCATCCATTTTCACAGCTAAGAAACCCTTGGGAAAAAACTGCTTAATTGTACATCGAAATTAATTAGAAAAACGTGGAAAACATATTTCTCGAATTTTAAAAAGGAAATTCGCCGAGAACAATAAAGAAGCGTCTCATATTTGGATGGCATTGCTATTTTAATTTCCAAGTCATGGCATAGAATATTAAAAATGCAGGCAAATCATATTGACTTCAAAAACAAGTCATAAATTGATTTATTGTCAGGCATTAGACGTTCACGGCCACCCAAAACGAATTTTTTAACTGTTGAAGGAAAATGTGAGAACAGCCATATTCTCTGATCATTGTTCTGATGTGTATTTCCTCCTCACAAATTGTAATCGTTGACCTTACAAAATTGAACGTGACTACTTTTATGCATTTTTCATTATCCAGAATAAGAGGAAGACTTACGCAATTCCGGCTATGAATGATTAGAGTTGAGGGAGCAAATTTAAATTATTTTGATTGAAATTTTTTTTACATGTCGAACTTGTTAATCCTACCGCACCTGCTTCAGACAAAAGGATAAGAAATAAAAAAGTACAGAATTTTACCTCAGTGTTTCAAGACGGTAAATCCGGCATGAAAAAGTCATTGCGGAGAAAATTGTAAATGCTTTCTGTCACTGCACCTGTCATATGCACAATTAACTTTACATGAAACTTTTTGTGAACGTGTTTGATTTAATTTGTTGAGTATTGCATTATATCATTGACTCTGGTATTATAATTCATGCGCTGCTATCTCAAGATTTCGCACATGACAACGCGTTATTTGGTAAAAAAAAAAAAAAAAAAAAAAAAAAAGAGCAGCTGGACTCCCAATTCGATTGAATATCCGTAAAAGATATTCAACATTTCTTGGTGAACCGTGTTCTGTTTCCTGCTGTTATTCCGGATGGTTTCCGCTTTGGTCTCATCTTCCTATCACTCGTATCAATTCTGTATTCAATCCACGATTGATGCCCAAAATAAAAATAAACGGTTGCCAATTGAGGCATAGCACTTGAAAAATTAAAATTGGCGCGTCCGCTATATTGTAAAAGATATTTCAGCTGTCCGCACACTTGTTTTAGTCGTGAAAATTTCTCAATTTCCGTTTAAAAAAAAAACGTCTTCAAAGAGTTCAAACACAGTCCTTTCTTTTTTGGTAAAATCCTGTCTATGAGTAAATCATGTTCTGTTTCCATGAATCAAACATCAGTTTCAGCGAAATCTTCTGGCAATAAAGGAATAACAGACACAGCAACGGATGAACGACGATGATCAGGCGGAAGCCAAATATTTGCTGCTGCTTGGATCCGTTTTCGCTCCGACTAGAGTTTCTTCATATTCGCAGGGTTTCTTATTCAACGTGCAAAAAATTCGCCCCTCTTTTAAATAAAATGAAAAAAAGACTACAGTAAGCGTCGTTTTGGAATGAGAGGATTATTTAGCTCCAACGTAATCTATGCAGTGTTTTTGCACTTCCCTTATTTTTTTCTGTGTCGGAAAAATTGAGGAAACGTGAAAACCAGATAATTTTTTTCTTTGGTATAGAAGTGGAGAGGAATCGAATGGAAATTTTAAAACAGGCAAGATACAATTGAAATACAGCTACCCTCAAAAATATTCAATATTTATGGCATATTCTACTTCCAATCTTTATTCATATACTGCCCAAATATGAAAATGTCTACTATCACTAATATCTACCTCGTGTTTTTTTAAAGATACACGGGATTTTACAAGCAGAAAGCAGCAAATATTTGGCAGGTTTTGACCATAGCAGCAGTTGAATTCGTGAGGCGGCCGACGTTCGTTGAAGCTGTTAGCGACACCTAGCAAACACGATCAAAACTCAAAACCTTTGATTTTCATAGATAGTAATGACAGTCGTGCTCGTGCTTTTGAAGTGAAGACTCATTCCTGGCTTTACTCCATTGAATGAAAGAAAATTTGTTCCTCGCGAACAAAGTTTGGGAATATGACCTCAGCAGAGTTCTCATAGAACCGCATACTTGACATGGAATATCCCATTGAATTGTAAAAGAAAATACTGCAGCAAACTTCGACAGCGAAATTCACATAAAAGCTTTCCACTGTGAACACCGCGGATACAATTAGCAATTAAACAATTGTCCGCGTGAATTTAGAAAAAAATAGAAATAAACCGGAAACTCCGTTGTTTAAAAAACAAGCGTCAGATTCGAGAACTTCCTCACGGGTTGCTAATTTTCACAAGCTATTTCAGGCTTCTTTTATTTTCCGAATTTTCGAAAACGCTTTCGAAAACATATCATCCAAGAATCACCATGACATAATCTTACAGCAGTCATAAAACGTTTTCCAACAAATGAACCACGGAGTCAACCGTAATCAATTTCTGGATAATCACTCGTCTTTATCGGTTGTTGTTTCACATAAATTGTATGCTGTACCTAGAGCTTGGAAATCTCCAATCTGTTTTTTGATACAGCCTCATCCTTGGGTTCTTCTTCGGATGGGTGATCTTGGTTCAACTTCAGACCTTTGTCAATATGGGTTCTGATCCACTTGAGATAAAATGGAGCCCTGGTGTATTTGCCAGGGTTGAGGAATTTGGCACATCCAAATCCTTCGGACACCACTCCAAGCAAGGAATACGAGTTCCCAATTTTTACAAACAACGGACCTCCACTGTCACCCTGCAAAAAAAAAAGGAAATGGTACTCGAGTAATTCTTGAAAATTAAAGCCCAGCCACATTTTTTTACTTGCCATTTTCTTGCACCGAATAATTTTTTTATACTGTAATTAAATAAATAATGCATTGAATTTAATAAATTGATTTAATTCAATTTCTTTAACTAATTTTCTCGCCTACAACTTTGAGACATACTCTTTTCATTTCGGAGTTTTCGTGCATTTTAAATGTTTGAACAGCTTTTAGCAAATTTAATTTGTGTCTAAAACTTGCATTAGGACGAAGTTTGGAGAGGGATTTCAGGACCAAGAATGAAGGTAGTTGCAAATTCAATCGTGAACTTTGAAACACATTGATTCTTAAGTGCAAGAAACATTTTTACAGGTTTTATTCTACAATTTTCTTCTCAGCGTCAATCAAAATATTCTGATCTCACAATAGACCCGATTTTATTTTTTACTGGTCTCTGATGCTATTTTCGCGCAACAGAAAATAAGAAATCAAGGTTTTCTTTCAATCAATCAACTTGGATGCACAATTTACCTGACATGAATCGACGCCGCCACGCCAACCGGCGCAAATGTGGCTCAAATCAATGTTCGGATGGAAAAGAAGATTCAACATGTACATCAGTCGGCATTTTGCGTTTGTTATCACTGGGACTTCGACTTTTTGCAGAGAATCGCTGGGCTGACCACCTGAAAATAAAATTCGTTTCATTCATCATCAGTCATAGATGAAAATATAATCTATGACGAATCCAACGTGGGCTTCAGAAACTCATTCGAAAACTTCATGTGGGATGCGGCGAGAATGTACGCTCGATTCACACGTTAGCGACATCTAGTTGAAATTATGGCGTCAAGAAAGAGAGTAGTTTCGGAGCCGCTCATAGATCACAGAATACGCGTCACAAGCGGAGTCTAGCACATGACAATATCTTCCTTCTATAGTTGATTCCCCAATAGTTTTCTGGCTGAATTCAAATGGATAACTACGGTATCTCACGTATGTGCCAGATATCTCGGAAAAACTTGATATAAGGTGCAGTTGAATTAAGGGAATAATAAATGATAAACTCACCGAAAGTAGTTGTTCCCCAACCAATGACTGTCGCTATTATTCCAGCATCCGTTGAGAAGGATTGCGGTGCTATGCATATGGGCTGAACATAATTGTCCCAGGCAACGGGTTTTGCCAACTGCAGCAACGCAATGTCATGAATGGATCCCTTGAAGATAGACGCTGTACAAATGCATATAGAAATGCGATAATTTAAATTCTCAGTTTCATCTCCTCGACGATATATCTGAGAAATAAACCCAGTGTATACTGGTTGAATAAATTGAGAACTCACATTCCCACTGTTCGTGAACAAATGCGCGTATCACCACGATGTCCTCTTCGTACGGATCGCGTGTAGATCGAACGAATTCTCGGATTCGCACCAAAAGATTTTGCGGATTTTGCGGAGACCCAAATAAACGCCTGTACGAAGAAAACAATTGATAATTCTCTCTTGCTATATATGTCCATCATAATCAACATGTACTTTTACGGTCCGCAAAAGCGTTTACGTCGAAATTCTCCCGAAAACCAAAAAATATTTTAGCACATATTCTTTAAAAAGTACCTCACGAAAGAATGCATACACAAAATAAGTAATAAATGTACAATACAGCACATTTTAGATGCTTTCAAAAATCGGCTGATTCAACTGCAATACGATCCTTAAAAGACAATTCTCTTTCGTTTTCGACTCAATCTGTACGAACAAGAATCGAACTAACTCTTCCTCGCATTTTTGGCGCATGAATTTGTAGGACATTTGTTTTCTTTTAAAAGGAAAACCTCACGACTGGTTAAATCTACAAATTAAACTTCAATATAATCCGTATATCAAATTATCATTTTTTTAAATCCAATTCTTGAATGAATGAATGAACAGAAAACTTTATTTGCCGGCAAGTAAAGTGTT